AAAAAAAATGTATTAAAAATATAAATATGTGTATTTTTTGTTTAATAAAATAAAACTATTTTATTTTATTAGTTTTAGTACATTATTGTATATATAAACTATATACTATCATAACTAGAATTAAGAAATTTCAAGCATTAGAATACTTACTAAAAAATCAAACCTCAAATTAAGCCATATTGTCGAAGGTCTATTTTTATCATTAAAAAATTATTCAAATGTAATTAATATGATAACTAATAATTAGATATACTTTTGTGTGCCTCTAGGCTGTATTTAAAAGTGAATATTTTTAATACATGCATATGTATATACATGATATCATTATCATCAATGATAATTATTCATCTTATTCTTATATCATGTTTAGTTTTAGTTTATTATATTAAAATACCTATTAGTTACAGAATCCATATTATTGCGATATTATTATTATATTTAAATGAACCCATCATATTTTATATTTTTCACTGTCGTAGGTTATCACTAATKGTTGTTCTATAAGAACTGGAGTAATTTTAATAACTATAGATATATATCCAAAATATTGATATAAATAATAAATCAGTACGTTCATTTAAGAACATACAACACGTATCACAATTCATCAAATTTTTTGAGAGAGTAAAATCTGTTTAATTTTAATTAGACTTTTTATATATTATGTAATTGATTTTGATAATACACATTTTGCAATTTATCTGGTAGGCACTTGCTTTGGTCAAATAAATATTTTTTCTCTAATTTTTATAGATCTAGTAAATACTATTGTCACCTGTTGCTTTCTGAAAATTTGACATTAATCATTGTTCAAAAAAAAAAAATCAGGGCATTTAGGCACCAGGCACGGCACTGAACTGTTTAGTAAAAATAAAATTTTTTGTGTAGGTAGAATTATTCAGATACTTTTATATATTATGTATCCACTAATTGTACCTTTAGGAACTGTGAGTCAATTAAAATTATTGTAACATAGGTATTTTAGTCGTTCAAAATACCTAAAYCGAACGAAGTATGGAAAAAATTAAGTACCTAGTTAATWAAGTAAACTTTTTCTCTATAATGATTTTGCATTTTTTTATTTTATAAAAAAAAAAAAATAATAATAATATTATTATAATGTTTCACAGATTATGCAATCGTTGATTTAAAAAAAATACATAGATAGTGTTCACCAACTATAAAATATTTTTAATAATAAAAACTGGTCTACTGGTGTGTAAATGAATATCACTCTGCTTTACGGAAAGTGCAGTTAGGTAGATCAYTATTCATTGAATTGCATTCATTACACATTAGGTATCGATTAAAAATKTATCTGGTACTAGTAGGTGCCGTAAAAATCAAAAATGTTCTGAGCTATGAATTTCGCTGTCAGCAAATATCATAGACGATTAGGGTTATATGAGTATGAAAATATATATCAAATGAAATTTTCACTTTGAAATATTGAAAAATATAATATTTTAATATTTTTTTTAAATTTTTTTGTTTTTGGTATGTTCGACAAAATGACACACACTGAATTCATAGCTGATTAGTGATTATAGGATCACGATTACGTTTTTCTTTGATGTTTATAAATTATAATGATAATTGATAATAGCTAGGTACTAATATAATATAATATTTATATATTATTATATTCATACCATATTAATATACAAATATTATATTATATTAGCTCTATAGGCTGTAAATTATAAATTATAAAAACACTATTATACTAAGGATTTAATAAATATAAAGTTTTTATTTTATTTTAATTCAAATAGAAATAATATATAAGGTTTTAACTCGTAGACTATTATAATAGGGACTCTGGTTATARCTATKTCTAATTAATAATTATAAAATATTAAATAAACAGGAATTAAGAAATTGGTATAGGTAATTCATGTGTTTTGAAACTTTTTTAAGTATGCTTATTATATATTTTAAGTAATTTGTTTTATGTAGTAGGTATTTGAAAAATATTTCAATAATATTTCTGTTCTAAATTTGAATTAAAATGATTTTTATTATTTTTCATAATATAAATTTCATGACATTTTAGAACCCTATGGACGATGATGTATGATCATAGCTTAAAATGTATTTTAATAATATACGAAATACGAATCTATATAACTAATTTTTGTATTTTTAACGGTTTTTGTTCGTTTTCGGGACATTTTTGTGACTATCAAGGTCATTTTTTTTAGTTTTAGGATATTTTATGAAATAAACTGCAATATTTATCTTTGGATATGTACTATGTGTAAAGCAAAATATTACGTTTTAAATTTTTAATATAATAAAATGCTGCTATTTGCGTATAATACATATTAAAAAAAAACTATGGTTCATTATTTATGAGTTATGAGTCATAACTTATGACTAATATGAGTAATAATTTAATCAATGACAATACCCTGATATATTTTATCACATATTATACCTCTAAATATCCTCAATTTTAAAATATTATTGTGTGTCAATAAGGTTTTAAATGTTTTAATATTCTAAATACCTATATTATATTTTAAATATTCTAAATATCTAATCGTAAAAATTCAATATTTATACTCATTTTTCCATCAAAATTCTAAAATTTTTAAGAAAAATACTGGGAAATATTGACCTTTCAATGTAACAACTATATTCACTCTTCCACGAGAAAAGATATTTAAAGTATTTTTTTCTATTATACAAATAATTTTCAAACGAAAAAAATTGCAAAATCAATACATTATGTGCCACTACGTTATGTACCAAAATATTTAAAAATTAATTTGTTACTTATAAATTATAATATWTTGTTTCCAAACATTTAATTAAGTACTGACTTCTATCTGAATTAATTTCTTTTAAATAGTTAAATAATATTAATTTAGAATTCAATGAAATCTGAACACATTGAAGATATTATTTTTAATATAAGCTGAAAAATAAAAATTATTTTATTGTTTATAACTTATATATATATATAAGTTGGGCGTGCCTCTATGACAGTCTTCCCTATTGGTGTTTGAGAGTCAACAATCCGCCTAGTGTGTAATCAGATTTTAATAGGTAGGTACGCCCGTTTTTTAGAAGGACGTTACATGTAAAACGCAAATGCAGCTACATATCTTTGTTTGTACATTAACATGCACTTATAAACATAACATACAGAAAAATTTCAAATGATTATTGTTTAGTACAGTTTTACTACATTATTAGCATCCAGTTTTGAATGTTAATTTAGTGAATTACCTACGAGTAGGGTATATAATACCTAATCAGGCCTTCTCCATACCACTACACACAAATACACAAATCTAAATTTGTATCAATAAATATTTAATCTATAGCTTAAATTATACTTATAGATGGGTAATTAAGTAAATATAAAATTGTAAAAACAAATGTGTATTTATTCATTTATAAACTAGAATTCTGGACATTTTATTAAATAATGTATAAAAATAAGATGAAATGTAATGATAATTTTATTACATCATATATAAATTATATCTTAACAATAMTATTGGTTGTGTTGATACGTATTATATAATATATTAAATTTATTAAATTTTAAAATAAATATCYGTGTTGAATATATTCAAACAAATWTTCCCCTCTCATTCTGAATCTCGTTATGAATCCGTCTAAGGTTAAAAAATAATGTTATGGTAAAACGTTTCTATGCAGAAATTATATTGAATTGGTGAGAAAATATACTATGCACAGATTTCTTTAGTTTATCAATTTAACAAATACACTTAATAAAATGCAGTAGATAAAACTCACAGTTTTTATTTATCTCTCGTAATTATTTTACCTAGGTTTTAGGTAAGGAGCATAATATCTCAATTATGCTAAAAATTGCTGGTTAGCAAAGAAAAATTACAAGATAGGAAAAAGGTACACGTCAACTGTACCGATCGATATTTGTATGTTATAAATTGTGTTCGTCAGTCACGTCAGTTGAATGCAATATATTGTGTACGTCAATAATTGCAATTATTGCGCTGATCGATTCTTAAATTGTTTATATGAAGCAGGGCTTGAAACCGAAAATTTTTTTTTCCAGTTTCGTTTTTGATTTTGGTTATTAGTATTTATTATTTCCGATTTCGATTCCGGTTTCGGATGCCGGCATTGATTTTTTCCTATTCCGATTCTGGTTTTAGTAGTTTAAGTTTTAGTGGKTTTAGTTATTTAATATTGACTTTTTTTAGTTTARTTTTAACTGGTATCCAACATCGATTTTAAACCCAAGATGGTTATTAATGTTATTATAAGTTTTTATAATGACATAAAATACTGGCGTAATAGGAACCACTCGCCAGTCGCCAAACATTGCATGKCGTACGATTTAGTGTCTGGTGTATTATTAAACATTTATTCATTGATAAGTCCGTGATATAAAACGTAGAAATAAACTAAACTATTACTAAAAACTAAATTAATGAAATACTTAGGTACCTAATACACAGTGACAGAGATAGAATTACAAAAACTTAATAACTAAAATATGTCTAGAGTCTGGTTAGTAAAATTGATATTGAGTATAAATAATAATACTATATATTTTTTTTTAATAGCAGTATCGACTATAGCAGTATTATAAAGTAGCTACTTTTAAGTTTTAATAACAATGAATAATAATAAATAATAAGTAATAATTAGAAACACAAAATATTGTTTACTGTGTAGATACTGTGTGAATGTAGATAATAATAATGTAGTTTGATCAAAATCCATTAATATAAAAAAAATGTGAAGCTATAAAATAATTATTATATTGGTGTTGTATGTTAGGTATTTAGGTCACGTTAAAGTATGTACCACAATTTGTATGTAAAAGTAATATATAATAAATTATATAAATGCAATAATTATATTAAGGGCTTTAAAACGTTTTTATAACGTTAAACGATTCAAAAAACGATTGAAATCGTTAACGGATTACATATCGGTAAACGAAAGTTGAATCATAACAAACGTATCAGACAACYAAGGGCCGGTTTCACCACTACTTTAAACTACGATTAAGTTAAACCGTGGTTTAATCGGCCGAATTTGGCCGGTTAAATAACTGTTATCAGTCGATTAAGCGTAATCGACGTTTAAAGTATTTGGTGAAAGCAGCCCTAAGGAAATTACGAAAAAATTAAAAATTATCTGTAGAATAAAATTAGAATTTAATTATTTTTGTAAAACTGTGATGGGATTATAATAATATAGTGACTCTAACGCTGTGTCCTACGTAAACGCGACGAACGCGGCGAGTGCGAACGAATTCTATCCTGACCATGCTGTTCCTTTTTCGCGTCGCGACGCGATGCGACGAAATACAAGCTGTTTTGTTTTTTGCCGCGTTTGCCGCGTTCACGTAGGACACAGCGTAAGATTAGCCATTAGGCACTATAAAAATAATCAAAATTAATTAAATAGTACGTTGTTACTTCAGAAAACAATCAAAACATTCCATTATAAATAATAATACGCCATTTTACATAATTAAATTCTTAGTAATGTATTTTTAAAAAGTAACAATAATGATAATATGGTACCAATATTATTGTTAATAATAGCCTTTTTTAATAATTATTAATAGGTATAGAAAACGGCATTATTTTGAGAAAAATATAAATCCCTACGCTAAGAATAAACACATTATCACATGAGCTATTTTTAATTTTTGATCTTTTCAAAGAGGACTCCTAGGAGACATGTGTGGTCCTGGAGTAGAACCTAGTTGGAGAGTTGGACACTGGATGACAATCGGATAAAATAGAGCCACACAATTTTTGTTTTGCAATTTTTATGAATCATACTGATGTAAGTCATAGTCAATCTCACAACCACGGCGCTCTAACTCCACTTAAGATTTAATAAGTTTTTTTTATCTTATTAAAAATTAAAATTCTTTCTCTGGTAATTTTATGTCATAAATTTTAATTTATAATCACAAATACTTATTATATATCACTTATGAATTTTGATGTGTTGTGGCATCGTATACATATGTAGTATGTTTTTCAATTTAATATTTATTTTTATTATACATACTACGTAAATTATAAAATCTTGCCGTCTCCCGATCACATAGCCTGTTGCCAAAAAAAGTATTCTTCGATAAAGTATTCTATCACTTCGAAAAATTTTGTTTTTTGACCAACAATTAGTTTTATTTGTTAAAAAATAAATTACGACATTATCGTTTCCAGCCAACACCACCCACACTCACACCGAGTATCACGGGCCCCCGAGTTTCAGAAMAGCGAGTTTTCGATGGCAACTAGTATAAAATATAAATTGAATTAACTAGTAACAAAAAAAGTAATTAGCAACTAGCAAGTTATAACATATAACTAGAAATCTAAGTTTCAGTGGCGTATTTTGGGTGATTTCTCGGGGGGTGTCAACATTTATTGAACCTCAAAAACAAAATTTTTA